GGTATCCTATGTAGCACTGGTTATCCTAGAACTCTCTAGGTAGACTGGACTGACCCGAAACTCAGAGACCCATCTGCTTCTGCCTCTCAAGTGCTGGGATTAAAAGTGTGCAGCACCACCCCTGGCCTTTGACAGTCTTTCTTCATTCTTAGCAGTAAGGGGTAGAATCCTTTGGGCTATTGGGTAAAGAGGGAAGGGGTGACTACCGTAGGGTGGGTTACAGTCGGAGGAAGGCAAAGTTCACAGTGGGCCCGTGTTCACTGCAGCGAGATGCCTTCATGTTGCTGGCCGTGAGTATCCACTGTTAAACTTGTTCCAAGTTGCTCATAAGAACAACAGCTACTTTCTGTCCATCAAACTTGCCCGTTCCCTGGCACATTGTTGGTAAAAAGTATTTTATAGCCCTGGGACATCAGAATTAAAGACGGCAATCTTCCTGCTTTAGTGAGCAGTTTAATCCATTAAGAGAAAAATACCAGCTTGCTTGTTATAGAAGAATTGGCCTTTTGTTGCTAGCTTCTTCCATGTCCCCAGGTGGCGGTCCAGCAGAAGTCACCTTGCTTGGTCTTTTATTTGAATAATTAAAACTTAGCTTTCTTGATTTGTAAAAAGTTCCTAAATTAGAAATTGTCACCAATAATATATGACTAGACTTAGGATGGCAAGGTAAATACAGACATAATTTTCTATGTTGTTAAGTCTGACTCATGTTCAGACTACACACACTTTTCACATCAACATTAATAACTATTTTTTGGTATCTTTTTGGGGCTAGGGAGAAGAGAACTCAACTCAGTACAAGAAAATAAATATAGAAAGCCTTCAGATCAAAGTAGAATTGTGAAGTCTATATCTTAATTCAAAGACAGAGTCTGGGGCCCCTACCCATAGTTAGTTTTTATAAGTTACTACTGTGATATGTTAGTGTGTTTGTTGTATCCAGAACATAACAAACTAGCAGCAGCAGACTGGGAGGACCAGGGAGCGTACAGAGCAGAGAGAGGGACAGCTGGTCTCTACCAGTGAGCATGAACACTGCACTTGAGAATTTCACAGAAGCCGATGCGCAGGGACGGTTAATGTGCTGAGCAGACAGGCAGTCTTTCGGGTCATCAGTGGCCCTTGGCCTTATGCTCTGGGGTAGTATGAGTTCGTGCTCATATCAATCATGTGACCCACACTGAACACTGCAGGAATAGGGGTTTAATGAGTCAGTAAAAAAAAAAAAAAGATTATAGTTGACTAACACCCCATGTGTAGCCTGAATTCTAATTGGCATTAATAATGAAATCCCAGAGTCAGATAAAGGGGCTAATGCTGAAGATCAGAGAAGCAGAACAACCAGACACTAGAGGGTTCTTTTACCTCTACCAATGCTCAGACTGAAGGGGCCATCCTGTCCTCAGATGCATCTCCAGACTCGTCAGACCTCAGACTGCACTGAGCTCCTGTCTCCTGAGCCTTATATTCCTCTCTCTGTCCTGCCTTATCACTCCTGTCTCCATCTCCCTAGTGCTGGGATCCCAAGTTCACACCTTTGTGTGAATTCTGTTTCTCTTTTAGACAGATTCAATCTTGCATAGCCCAGGGTGGCCTTGAACTCACAGAGATCCCTCTGCCCATCTCCTGGGATTAAAAGTGTGAGCCGCCACTTCCTGGCCTCTAGTGGCTTAGCTCTCTGCCCTCTTATCTTCAGGCAAGCTTTATTTCTTAAAAACACAAAATATCACTATATCCATGTGTAAGATCAAATGAAACATGACCAAGTAGAAAAACACAAGATCTCCTCAGTAAATTGGGAGCATAGGGACCATGGAAAAGGGTTCAAGGGAAGGGGAGAGGAAGGGAGGGGAGTAGAGAAAAATATATAGTTCAATAAAAACAATTAAAAAAAGAAACATAACTTACTTCCCTTCATTATAGAGAGGTTTCCTGTACATTATTATTTTCACTGTTATTACTGCTACTTAGTCCTTAGGATTGAATGCAGGGCCTCGTGCATGGTAAGCACTCTGCTACTGAGTTACACAACCCTTTTGTTATAGTACTGAAGATTCGTCCTAGGGCTCCTGCGTACCACAGTCCCCACACCATTATTGCTGTAATTGAAGTCATGTCTTCGGAGCTTACAGGCATAAGCTTTTGTCAGCAGGGACATTAATTTTGGGGAATGATTTTATTTGTTAGTTCTCTATGCTTTAGAAGTTACTACCATGTATTCCTTTCATCGTTACACTTTTGCTTGTTAGGGTTAAAATACTATTACATGCTTGCTCACATAGATTGTTTTCCTTTTCCTTTGAATTTCAGAAGTCTCTACCATCTGGGGGAATGTGTCAGAATTTGTGGAAAAGCAGCTAGCTATGCATAAGGTAGGTTTACACTCCTGTCTCAGCACGGCAGTTAGGTATGTCTTCTGCAGACTTGCGGACTTTTGCTGGGAGTAGTGCAGCAGATTTAGGGCCATTCTGGTCTGCTGTCACTCCTTTAGTGTTTTATTTTATTTTTAATAAAGGTTTGTTTATTTATGTATACAGCGCTCTGCCTGCATGTATCCCTGCAGGCCAGAAGAGGGCGCCAGATCTCATTACAGATGACTGTGAGCCACCACGCGGTTGCTGGGAATTGAATTCCCGACCTCTGGAAGAGCCGTCAGTGCCATCTCTCCAGTCCCCCCTTTATTTATTTATTTTTAAATTTTAATTAATTAATTAATTTTTTTGAGACAGGGTTTCTCTATGTAACTGCCCTGGCTGTTCTGGAACTCGCTCTGTAGACCAGGCTGCCCTTGAACTCACTGAGATCTACCCGCTTCTGCCTCCCAAGTGCTGGGATTAAAGGCATGGGCCACTGCCCGCCATCACTCCTTTTCTGTTTGCACTTTCTGATGCTCGTAGAATTTGTGGCAAGCTGGGTGTTATCCTGAGATAAACTCTGGTAGCTCTCTTAATGACAGAGAACGCTGGGTGTTATCCTGAGATAACACGTTCGTAGCTCTCTTAATGACAGAGAACGCAGGACTGCTCGGTCTGGGTTTGTGTAAAGGAAACTAGACGAGGTCTGTTTGCGGTCCAGTCTGTCAGCTCCCGGCATGGGTGTGGGGAGGGATACACTTGTTCCGCCATTTTGCTGGGAATAAGTCTTAATTGGAATGTATAAATACAGAAACTAAATTTAGCTAGTGCAAAATAAGAAACTGCCTATGGTTGGACTATTTCTTCAGGTCAAGTCTTGGGTTTAAATGCTGTAGAACCGTGTGAGGATTTTGGCCGGAGCTTGGAGGCAGTTAGGAGTTTGTGGACCCTTTATAATTTACACACGTTTCCTAACTGTGGCAGTCCCTGGCTGAATGAACCCTTCAAACTCATTTTGCCTGGTTTGCGAATTTGAATTGTTTATCATTACTTAAAATTGGCAGAGTATTTGTGAAGCTTTGCATTTTTCTTGCCATTTTCTTAAAAAACTCAACAGGCTTAATGCTATTGTCTCTCATTTTTGCACGTGGTCATGGATGCAGGCCATGAGGTGCTCTTCCCTTTGCATGACGCCTGCGTGTCCTGGCCAGCACACATTCACTCCCTGGCTTTTCTTCCTTCTGTTCCTATACATCTGAGTTTGCAACCGTTGGTATATGACATCTTTAGGGTATCCAGAGGCATTTGCATTTACCCAGTGGCCAAGGTTACACTGTAGGAGGTTCCCGGGTGCTGGTGTGTCGGGCTCCACTTCATCCTGTCTCCTTACCCCCTCTCAGTAGTTACCACAGGAGCTCTGTTCAGGGAGACGTTTTCTTACACACGTGATCGCGCTTGCTACACACGTGATCGTGCTTGCTACACACGTGATCGTGCTTGCTACACACGTGATCGTGCTTGCTACACACGTGATTGTGCTTGCTACACACGTGATTGCGCTTGCTCATATTCAACCATTCACTGCCCATTCCCATTAGTGAGCTGTCTGACTTTAAATAGGGAACCTAAAATTTGAGGGAACAAAAAAACAAGGATTTCATTAAATGGAAAATTATTGAATCTATGTCATATAGTTTAGGACAAGAATAATATTTGTTATGGATTTCTAAAAGCTATGGTGCCCCTAGCATTTTCACAGATATACTACATCTAAGAGAACTCACAGAGACTGCTGATGTGAACTACTCGGTAAACTCCAGTGTCCCCTTTCTTTTTGGTGACCGAATGGCTATAACCCTTCACCCTTTAACGGAATAGTGTGTGTTGTTCTTCTTGTCTTCTTTTTACCTTTCAGGGAGTTCAGATTTCCGGACTCGGAACTTTCACCTTCACGAGGCAGAAGCTCGAGGTGGGGAACCACAAGTTTATTCTAGTGCAGAGGCCCGTGTTTATCATGGCGGAGAAGTTAGTGCAGACCCACGGACTCAAGCAGAACAAAGTGTTCTCTCCTGGTAAATCGTTTTAACAGCTGAGATTTTCCCCAGAAGTGTGTTGGCCTGTGGAGACAAACAGATAGAGTAAACCTTGGCCAGCCCTGCCTTAATTTCTGGTTTCAGAGACTCAGGTCCCACATGGTGCTTTTGTAGAAGGGGAGCCAGGGTGGAAGAGTTAAAGTCTTTCTGAAGTTCATTTTGTTTGCTTTCTAAATTTTAAATATTTCAATGTGTGTGTATGTGTGTGTGTGTATGTGTATGTCTATGTGTGTGTGTGTGTGTGTTTTGTTCTGCAGGATGCATGTGAAGGTCAGAGGTCAACTTAGGGGCATCATTGCTGTCCTTCCACCACGTAGATCCTGGGGATTAAACTCAGGACCTCAGGCTTGGTGGCACATGCCCTTACCTGATGAGTCATCCTGCCAGCTCCTGGAGTCCATTTTAGACTCTAGTAGCTTAAGAGGCAGGCATGGGAAGACCGAGTTCATTTAAAAGTCATGCTACAGAGTCCTACAGGTTTATACTCTTGTTTCAGAGCCTAAGAAACTGAAAGTGGCCATAAATAAGGGAAATCTAATTTAGGGTCTCTGAGTAATGAGAAAAAAACCCGTTGTTCAGTTATCTGTGAGAAAAATAATGTCTTTCTGACATGTATGTGATATAAATTATTAAAAGTTAAAATTTAATAGTGCTGCTCTTAATGGATATTAGCTTATAGGTTTTTTTTCATATCTTAAGACAACCCTTCCTCCCTTTCCTTTCCATTCTTCTACAAATGTTCATCAAGGGCCAACTCTGTAGGTTCTAGAGCTGCGGTGATAAACAAAGCAAACAGAACCAGTGCCGTATCTGCACACTTACATCTACCCTCAGTGTGTGGGCTTCACCACACAGTGGTGCCTGGCTCTGTACGGTTGAGGGCTCAGCTCCAAGGTCTACCTTCCTTATTGGCTCCAGTGGTTAAAGAGAAATGGTCTGCCCTCGGTGGCAGAGGTGTAAAGTTTCTAACTTTCCTTTTAGTTACCTCTCCAGAAAATTGATTTTCAGGGTAGCGCTCTATGAAAAGGAGAAAGCAAGCCAAATGTCCAGGCACAGCGACTCTTTCTGTAACCCCAGCACTAGCAAGCCTGAGGCAGGAGGATTGCTGCAAATTTGAGGCCAGTCTGAGTTATACAGTGAGCTCCAGGCTGCTTGGGCGCACAGAGTGAGACTACCTTTTAAAAAATAAAACTACCAAACAAGCAAACATATACTGGAAAAACAATCGCCAAAAACCAAGACCAAAAACAAAGTTATAATTTACTTTGATTATATTCAATATGGTGGGTTTGAAAAGATTTCAGCCATCCACCTAAAATTTTATGTTTCTTTTCAAAAATATGTTTGTGTTAGAATTAAGAGTTTATTCTTCCACTTTGGATCTTGCATCATAATCTTAAATAACAATTTAGATCGACAACTCATTTTTTTACAGGGTGTAGAAGTTTTAGAATTAAGTAGATCCAGAGAACAACTCTGTTTACATTTTAGATTTAGAGTTAAAATTCGTCGTTATTAACTAGCTAGCGAACCCAACACTGTAGAATGGCTTTCAGTAATTAGTAAGACATGACTCTGACTTTGAAACTCTCAGGATTGAGTGCTTTGAAAGCAGCCTTGGTCTGAACTGGATCAAATAAGATGCCAGTCTACAGGAGAATAAACCTGTCTCCATCTGGGGAGGTTTGGCCAGCTAGCCGTGGGGTTTTATCTCAGGAAATGTGTGAACACTTCACGGCCAGGGGACAGAGTGAATCCTGTTAGGAACATCCTGGCCCTTCTGGGTAGCCAGGATTGATGATTGCAGTGATTATGATAAAAATGGTAGGCAAAGATCGCTTGTGTGATAGCGATGTCAGGAATCATCCATGGGCATTGGGAACCACTGAGGTTTGAAGCAGTGCATTTTTGGTACTGGTTCAGATTTTAGCTTAGGAGGAGCACTTTGGATGACAGCCAGTTGGAGGAATAAATCAAAAGCTTGTGTGGAGGAAGGAAGGGTGAGAGCTATGTATGGGGCCAGGTAAGTACGGAGGAAGTTACTGGAGTAACTCAGATTCCTGCTAGAGAACAGTGGATGCTCTTGGTGATGGGTCACGTAGCAAGCTCTTGTGGAGACACGTTGAATCTGGCTTTCCTCTAGCGATATGTAGAGAGCGGTGATCCCAGAGCTTAGAAGGGATGTGGAGAACACAGATCTAGGTTTGAATAAGATCATCTTGAAGAGGACAGAAAGAAGTAGGTGAGGATAGAGTGGGAAAACAAACCCTCCCGAATCAACAGGCATGAAAACCAAAACAACCCCTCCAGTCTCTCTGTATAAGGAATAACAGAAGAGAGAAGCCACTACACCAAAGAGGAATCGGAGAACCAAGAGTGGGGTTGTGGATATAAGAGAAAAAAAACGGCAAAAAAAACCCAACAACAACAACAACAACAACAAAAAACCCAGAGACGCAAGGGGCTGTGGGAAGGTGGACAGTCTGACTTTCTGCTTTAAGAAGCACACATCAAAAAGAAGCAGAGGGAGGTGGTAAGGAACCTGTTCATTGTGCAGGAGACTGGCTGATACAGCGTACGTCACGTCTGGTAGAGCTGCTAATTCTCATCCTTCAGCAGCGATGGGCGTCTGAAAGAATAATCCATGCCAAGTCTTGTTCCTCTGCCAGTGAGCCTCGTTGCTGCTGTTCCAGTCATGGTCATCTCCATCTCTGCTGGTTGTCCTTTTTTTCTGACCAGTGGGCCTGGCAGAACCACATCATCAGCTGTAGCCAACTAGAGCCCGGCTTTCTCAAGCTGCTACAGCCGAGCTCCTTTAACGTGGCATTTGTGAGCTCTCTGGGAAGGAAAGCTTTCAGTGTCTTGTCTGGTCTGATGCCTCTGTATCAGACTTAGTTTCACGAAGGATAAGATGGCTATCTTCAAACACTTAATATTCACAAATATTTGTAATTACCCAAAGATGAGATGTCAGCCAGAAGACATTCATAAATACTGCTGAAGAGTGTTCTGAAAGAGCTGAAAACCCCAGAAAACGATGAGAAGAAAGTTTGTCGTTGCTCTGTTCCCTGGACAACCAAATCCTTGTTTACTATTTAGATAGTCAATTACTTTTGGCATGAGCAAAATACATTGTACTTTTAGGTGAAATTGTACTAATTAGCATCTATTAATGACCAATTATAGTCATTATCTGCAATAATAGTACAAGTATAAGGGGAAAATATGGACAATTTTATTTTTTAATATTAGTCAGGTAAATATAGTGTAAATATAGTGTAAAAATAGTGTATAGGTAAAAATAGTGTACACAATATGTCTTTAGTATAACCTCCTTCTCCCCACCCTGTCTTTTTCTCCTCCAGGTGATATCCCAGTTGTCCCACTTAATTTTGTCATGATATCCCTGGAGGGACCATTTAACAGGGACACGATTGAAGGATGCGTCAGGGAGACATTGCTTTTCTTATCGCGATCCATATCTGTCAAACAAACCGTGGAGTTCACATTCAAAGGAATTGGGGTCCTTTCCATCAGAGACAGCAAAGTGAAGATGAAATTTTACAAGGACTTCCTTTGCTCGATGGATGGAAGTGGCACCTTGACCAAAGCCCTGGCAAATGTAAGTTGTTTGCTTCTAATCTTTCCTGGTTTCGTTTTCTGTTGTTGTGATAAAACAGCCCGGCAAAAAGCAACTGAAAAGGGTTTATGTTAGCTCAGTCTTCCAGGCGACGGTCCATCAGAGTAAAGATTGTCATGGTGGCAGGAACGTAAAACAGCTAAAGACACCGCATCCACAATCTGCACTCTGGGTGATCCAGGGACCAAAACTAGGGAATGGTGCTGTCCACTTTCAGCCTGCATCTTTTCACACGGATGAAGACAATTGAGATAGTTCCCCAGGACACGCCCACAGCCACGCCCACAGCCACGCCCACAGGCCAACTTGAAGTAGACAGTCCCTCATGGAGACTTGTCTTCTCAGGAATTCTGAATAGGATCAAGCTGACAACTGAAACTAACCATCACGCAACCCCTTTTTTTTCAGTCGGTGGTTCTGAATCAAATGTGGGTGTGCTTTCATTAAGAAAGTCTTTTAGGAATAGGCATGGTGATACACGCCTTTAATCCCAGCACTTGGGAGGCAGACACAGGCAGATCTCTGTGAGTTTGAGGGAGGTGTTGACCCAGTGTGTGGGAAGTAGAAACTGAGAACACAGGGCAGAATCTGCAAATTTAGAAGAAGGACCCAAGTGGCTGCCTTCTTCCTAACCGTGGAGGATCCTGCTGAGTTTTAGACACTGTTTAAAGAGAAGCCAATGTTGTATCGGTTCACCGAACTCTAAAGTGTTAGTGTGCTGTGTCCCTTGCTCTCGTGGACAGGGGCACCATGTACACAGCCTGTTAGGTGACTGAGAACACAGGCTGCAGGGCAGCTGGCTTGACTGGTGAATTTAGCCTGGAATTCTGGGCTAATCGACACCCCTTGACATCTCATTCCCTCTGTAAACACCGTTAAATATGGCGGGGAATGGCAGTTTGACCCACAAATGTCCTATAATTTAAACCTGTGTATGATCCTGAAAATAGCTTCTCTTAGGAATTTTATGTGCATATTTTGGTGGTAAACCAAAACCATACCCAAAACCAAAACACTGCTTTTTGGATTTTTTCTTTAAATTTATTTATTTTTATTTTCTGTGCATTGGTGTTTGCCTACATGTATGTTTAATTCCCGAAGGAGTTATAGACTGTTGTGAACTGCCATGTGGGTGCTGAGAGTTGAACCCGGATCCTCTGGAAGAGCAATCAACACTTTTAACCTCTGAGTCATCTCTCTAGCCCCTTTGAGATTCTCTGTAAAGCCTTTGTAGGCTATAGAATTCATTCATAAACAATCATACATATTAGTTAATGGTAATAATGAGGTTATTATATAAAGAGATAACTACAATAGCTCTCGGTTGCATGCTCTGCACGTTTCCATACAGTATCAGATTAAAACCCTGCGAGGCAGCTCCAGCTGCTCTCTCTACAAACCTAGTGCCTGGGAACACGTAGCAGCTAGCAGTGTGCCCGGGGACGGAAGCCCACGTGACTTTAGAGACTTTCTCTGAACTGTCCAATTAATATGAGAGTCCTGTGGACCAAGAGTGAAGTCCGAGCTGCGCTCATTTCCCGATGGTTTCTGGATGTTTGCTCGCTTTCCAACGGTGTGTAGAAGTCGTTTCAACTCTTAGGGCAATTTTTTTTTTCTCAAAGTTTATTAAAATACAAAAGTCTCCATTTCCGCCCCTCCTCCCAACCCCCTCCCACTCCCCCCACTCCCTCCTCTCCTCCCTCTCCATCCCCAAGAGCAGTCAGGGTCTCCCGCCCTGTGGGAAGTTCAAGATCCTCCCCCCTCCCTCCAGGTCCAGGAAGGTGAGTATCCAAACAGACTGGATCCCAGAAATCCAGTATATGCAGCAGAGGAAACAAGTCCCAGTGTCATTGTCAATGGCTTTTCAGAAAGACTCCGGGCCAGCCACATTCAGAGAATCCGGCCTCATTCAGAGAATCTGGCTGGATCACGTGCTCGCTCAGTCCCAGTCAACTGGCCTTGGTGAACTCTCATTAGATCAGTCCCCTTGTATCAGTGGGTGATCGCACCCCTCGCGGTCCTGAGTTCCTTTTTCATGTTCTTCCTCCTTCTGCTCCTCATTTGGACCTTGGGGGACTCTTAGGGCAATTTTCAAAAGAGCCGACATGGTCTGAGAAAAGGCAGCGTCTGTGGAACTGCTCTTCAGCAGTCCAGGCTAATGTTGATGAAGGCAATCACGCCTTACGGGACTTGGAGGCATCCTGCTTGTCTTGGTCCATGCGGGGCGGGCCCACAGCTCAGGCGCGATCTTTATCTCTGTCCTCCAGAGGCCTGGCACCATGGACTCAGTGCTGTCGAGCAGAGAGGGCTTTGGAAAGCGTCCCAACAGTGCTCTGGCTTTTCCAAGGTGAGTGTTATACTCTGGGGTTAATCCAGGCACCTGCTCTCCTTGCTTATAGGACAGTATTTGTTTTCCAAACTAATTTCCTGCTTCTCTCTCCTTGTCTGTCTCCCCTCTGTTTCTCTCACTCCCTTTCTTTCCTTCTCCCTCTCTACCATCTCTGTATAAGCACCAAGAGTTTATTGCACACACCACCACCACAGCCCTTCACAAACTGTCTCTTTATAGCTTGTTATTTTTATGTAGGGAGAGGATGAGGAAATGGAGACGAGGAAGGAGATGGTTATTTGGGGGTGCACTCTATCAGGCTATGGTTTCCTGACTTCAAGCAGACAGACATCTCCCACTGATGTAGAAAGGACAGAAACCTCAGACTGAAACCAAGGGAAAAAATTTAAGTTGAGGTGTGCGAGCATTTTCTTTCTTTTTTCTTTTTTTAAATTTTTTATTTATTATGTATACAATGTTCTGTCTGCACTTATGCCTGCATGCCAGAAGAGGGCAGCAGATCTCATAGATGGTTGTGAGCCACCCTGTGGTTGCTGGGAAATGAGCTCAGGACCTCTGGAAGAGCAGCCAGTGCTCTTAACCTCTGAGCCATCTCTCCAGCCCCATGAGCAATTTTTTTATATCAAGTTCTTTCGGGGGCCCACAGTACAAGGGTATGTGGTTTGGGTAGGCTCCCAGATTTGGCCTCCCAGAGAGGGAGTTCATGCTCCTATTTCACAAGGCAAGCCTTGCACCCCCTTGAAGGAAGCAGGCTTGTTGTGAAGTTGGAGAGGTGATGGGTGGCTTCCCAGAACTGAGAGTTCACACAGTCCTCTGGGCAGGACCCGTGCAGAGGACAAACCTCTTGATTCCTTCTTAGGATTGAGCACAAAGAGACAGAGAACAAACCAGCCATGGAGGTCATTGCCGAGGAAGGTGGAGAGAACAGACCAAGGAAGATCAAGTTGAAAGACCCGTCAGACAAAGAGGATGGAGCCAGGGGTAGGCCAGTGGTTTGTGGGCACCGTCTGTTCCTCTTGACTCTTAGGAACCGGGTGGTATCATAGGAACTCATATGCTCAAAGTAAATAAAGCTTGTGTATTAGTTATATTCCTTGTTGCCATGAAAAAACTGACAAGCAGTGATTTAAGGTGGGAGGGGAGGTGGGGTGGGGGGAGGGGTATTTTGCTCTGACCTGTGATTGGGTCCCAGGGGCTAAGTGTGGGAGGCCAGCTGGTCACAATGTATCTGGAGCCAGGAAGCAGAGAGTGACCAGGAAGTGGGGAGGGGGGGCCCGCGCCCCCCGTAAAACCTCAAGGCTCACCTTCAGCAACTCATTTGTTTTTCCAGCAAGGGCCCACCTTCTTAAAGGTTCTTCACCTTCTCAAACAGGGTCACCCACTGGGACCGAATGTCCAAATAGAGAAGTCTATGGGGGGACATTTGACATTCAGACCACAACTTCTAGATTCACAAGTAGCCACTGTATTTTTTTTTTCTTTTTCTTACGAACGCTTTTTATTCTTGGAACCCTGTACCTTGCCTTACCCCACCCTTAGCCTCTTAAACTACCATCTGTTTGGTGGCTGCCTTCCTGTTCTCGACCAGGTCCTGGTAAATAGCACAGATGTACACGGTGAACTCTAGGGCATGTTCTGTACCATTAGAGTAAGAGATACTAAAGAAAGGTGCCTAGCTTGCAGGAAACTTGCCCTTGGACAGAACTGTCAGATTTTATGTGTCTTCTTAGCTCTCTGTTTAGTGGTTTGAAAACCGAAGAGACTGTCACTTGTGTTGGTTATTTATTCTAGAGATCTCGTCACCCAAGAAACACCGTGATAGGCAGTCCATCTCTCCTGCCAAAGTGACAAGCGTCAGCCTGCTGGACAAGCTGGAGCGAGGCGGGAGCGGTGGGAAGACCGTGACCTCTGAAAAGTAGGGCCCGACTTTGTTTCTGTTGCAGTTCACTAAATATCATCTTGAAGTCTTCCCATGACACAGGGCGTCTTAGTAACCCTTTTGTTCTTTTATTAGGTATGACCGAGAGCCTTCTATGTGGGAGGTGATGGGGACTGTAGAGGTGGTCAGGGCTTATAATCTAGAGGGAAATCTAGACACACGCCAAGGGTAAGCTATACTCTTAGAGGAAGGAAGGTTATTCAGCCGAGGCAGAGGTAGCGCAGCGGTAATTCTGTCTGCCTGCCTGCTTTCACAGACGATTTCCCAGCTCTACAGACACTGTTGATTTCTGAGTGCTGAGGAAGCACATGGCAGTTTTATATTGACACTGAGTGGAATGTGAGTTTGCCACACAGGCCCGGCAGGCACACCAGTGTTTCTGACATCTGCTTTTTGCTGTCTTCCTGTGTGTTCTGCAACGATTCTTTGGGCAAGTTCTCTGTCATATACAAGGGTTATTCTTCTTACTGAACAAGTGGGTTAGGATTGTGTTGACAATCCTTGGTTCTTAATTTCTTTTTCCTCCATGTTTTAATGATTTTTTTCCTATTTTCTCCTGTTAGAGGTCCCAAAGAGACATCTGAGTTGTTCCTTCCTGTAGCTTTTGATTTATGATTTAATACTCCATTCCTTCCATGCATAGTCTTTATGATTCCCACAGAGTATGCATAGTTATTACCAGCCGACTATCCCCATTAGAATGATACACCCGTGAGGATAGGGACTGGTGTGCGCGTGGGTTTGGTTTGCACTGCGTTCCTGCATCTGGAAGAACCACACAGCAAACAAGCATTATATTTTTATGAAATGAGTGAATTTATCCCCATTTTACAGAAGTGGTAACAAGATTTCCAAGAGGACATAGTTTGTCCATGTCATGTACCCACAAGGCACAAAACAAAGTCAAACCCGGCCCTGACAGAGTGCACGCTCTTAACTTAAAGGAAACCATTGAGATGCTTTTTTTTTTCTGTATTTTTAAGACAGGATCACTCTGTTGTGTAACTCTGCTGTCCTGCTCTGGCTCTGTAGATCAGGTTAACCTGAAGCTCACAGAGATCTACCTGCCTCTGCCTTAGGAGCTACCATGCCCAGTCCTTCTTTCTCTATGTTTACATTTGTCTTTAAAATCATCACTCTGCTGGGGCTGGAGGGATATGATCTAGGTTAGGAGCATTTACCATTCTTCCAGAGGTCCTGTCTTCCATTCCGAGCCCCCATAATCAGGTGACTCACGATTGTCTGTAACTCCAACTCCAGAGGATTCAAGCCTCTCTTCTGTCATATGTACACATCTACACACACACACAAACACACACACACACACACACACACACACACACAATATACAGAATCTTTAACATGATCATTGTTCCAGAGGCCAGATTTATTAAAGGTTAATTTGTGTTCCGTTGTCTTTGAAGTATACCATCTCCAAGTTGTCAGAGGAATGACAACGAGAAGCCCAGGACATCTCCTGCCCCGGTGTGCCAGGATCATAATAAGGCAGGACAGGTACAGTGCCTTCAACTGAATCAAACTCAGGCAGAGTCATCCTCGGATTTTTGTTTCTCCAAGAGAATTCTGGGAATCACTCCTTAATATACTCTATGGGCATACTCGAGTGTCTGGACTGAAATTTGCCTGTTAACCAAGAGCTCCTACTTCAGAGAAAGGGGCTAGGAAATTCCTTCTAATTTTCAGCTCTTCTGGGAGTTCATTAGATCCTTTTTTATCACTGTAGAGGTGGCCAGGGCTTATAATCTAGAGGAAAATCTAGACACACGCCAAGGGTAAGTTATCCTCTTAGAGGAACGAAGGTTATTCAGTCAAGGCAGAGGTAGTGCAGCGGTAATTCCACCTGCCTGAATAAACAGATTTACTTTGTAAACTTCCTTTTGCTAATTGCGTATTAGAGAATATATTTCAGCAATCTGTTCTTTTATAAAACGCGTTTCTTGACATACCCAGTCTTAGGCTTGCAAAGGGAATAAAGTAAATGAAGACAAAAAACAAAAACAAAAACAAAAACACAATGTATGATTTGTCCTGAAATCTGAACGGTAGGAAATGTGCTATGTGTGTTTGCAACGAGCGCAGCGGAATTTCCCGCTGTACCATGGAGACGAGAGGAGGAGGAGAGAGATGGAGGACGAGCGGCTCATGCAGCAGTACCAAATTCTGAAAGACCAGGAGGCTTTCTTTAAAAACCAGGTAGCCTTACGCCTTATCGCCTTATTGGCAGAGGGTTTGCTGTGGGACAGCGGGACAGCGGGACGGCGGGACGACGGGTCGTCCTTTTTAGGCTCAACTGAATATATTCTGCGCATGCTTGCGCTGTGACACATCTAATTATCCGTTTGCAGCTGGGCTAAAGCAGGTGGTGTGTGGGTTGGTTTTATGGCAACTTGATACAAACTTGATAAAAGTGACTTTTAATGGGGAGCATGCCTCCATGAGATTTGTCCACAGGCAAGTCTATACTGCTTGTTCTCGATCAATGAATGATATGGAAGGGTCCAGTTCACGGGAGGCAGTGCCAGTCCCGGGCTGATGGTTCAGCGCTGTATAAGGCAGACTGAGCAAGCTGTGGAGAGTAAGCTAGTAAGGAGCGTTCCTCCGTGGTCTCTGCTTCAGTTCCTTCCTGCCTTCAGTTCCCACCCAAGTTACCTCAGCGATGGAGGAGGACTTGAGAATTGAATTGAGCTCATCTCCCCCCAGGTTGATTTGGTTATAATCTTTTATCACAACAGAAACCTCAACTAAGACAGGTGGTGTCCAAGTTTTCGTTGGTGAATGTCCCTATATGTATTACGGATCTTCCCCTCAACCCTCAGGACTGTGTTTTAAAGGTGAAAATGGGCCAGGCATAGCTGTGCACTCCTTTAAGCTCAGGAGGCTGAGGCAGAGTCAGGCAGATATCTGTGAGTTTGAGGCCAGTCTGATCTACACAAATTTATTTCCAGGCTAGTCAGGGATGCATTGTAACAACTTGTCTCAAAAAAAGTGAAAGTGGTGGATTTATTTATTCAATTTTGATATAATATAAATCTGTTCAAATCTTATACCTTTTAAAGTCATAGCCTATCTCAAAAAAGGAGGAGGGAACACAGAATTGCCTTTACATTTTCTCTATGTGGATTTCTATGGTTTACAATAATGATACTGTTACTCTGTTCTGTATTTGTAGTAGAAATCCACAGTTCCTTTTTACTATAGTTATAGTGATGGTGTCCGGAGTCTGAAAATTGGGAAAATAAAAACCTCGTCTCATGTCTACAAGGACTTCAGAAAGTGCCATTGCATCCAAACAGGTTTCTGTGCTGGTTGGAAGATATTAATGACAGAATTGAATGCTCGGAATGTGTCAGTATTACAGAATTAATTAATATAGAATGAAGGTTCTTTGTTTTGTTATTTTGAGACAGGGTTTCTTTGTGTAACAGCGCTGGCTGTCCTGGAACTCCATTTGTAGGCCAGGCTGCCCTTGAATTCACAGAGATCTGCCTGACTCTGCTAGGATTAAAGATGTGCATCACCACAGCCTGGCAGAATAAAGAGTTTTAAAGATTATATTTTATTATTAAATTAAAAATTGAAAAATACCTGTTTATAGGTGAAAAGTATGGCTGCTAGGGAGCAGAATCAGAAAAACGCTGCCTATAATCTCGGGGTCGCTGAAGCCATAAGGAATCACAAGAACGAGAAACCCGAGTTTTATGTGAGTACTGATAGTGTATAAACCACACTAACTGATAGCGTATAAGAAACACTAATGAGATTGTGTGAGTTTTCTGCCAAACTGTTCCCTATCAAACTTTTTAATCACTTAACTTAAGCAATGCCTTTTCTTAGACAATTGGTTCTCAATCTCTAATTTTCCTTTTGTAGTCTCTTTTCTTTTTTCTTTTTGACAGGGTTTCTCTGTGTAACAGTCATGGCTGTCCTGGAACTCACTTAGTAGACTAAGCTGGCCTTGAACTCACAGAGATTCTCCTGCCTCTGCCTACTGAGTGTTGCCACCACACCCAGCTAACAATCTCTAATTAAAAAAAATTTCTTTGAATATATGTTTCTCTATGGGACATGGAGTGGCTTTTGTAGCCTTCAGAAATATCTGTGATTCCTCTTGGGGGCACTTTGTCTCTGGGTGGTTGGTGCTCTCCTGTTCAGAGGTTGGACCGTAGGATGCTCAGCATTGTTGTGCCTGCTCCCCAAGTTCGGCTCGCCATGTTGGGATAACATTAATAAGGCAACTGTTTCCACTTTGCATTTTATTAAGCTTGTATTTGTTCTACTCACATAAAACTTTTATTGCTAATATCAGCTCACCTGTAAGACTCTGGAGCGAATACCCTATGCTGTAGATTGTGCCATTTAAAGGAACTAAGTCGGAGAGTGGCCGGCGTAGACTGTCGAGGGTCTGCCCCACAGTGTCCACAGTCACAGGTTGACTTCTCTGCATCACTACAACTCATGTTCATGACAGGCTTTTCCCATCAGGCCCTGGGACAGGTGAGGGGCAGGATCCTAATGCCCAGCCCCAGGATCTAAAGAGAAAGCAACAGCATTGCCAGCATCCGGGAACTTGCCCGGAATGAAAACTTGCAGGGACCCACTCTAGACTTGCCCCATGTGACTTTGGAGTGGGGTGACATCTCCAGGCGATCTGAGTGCATGGGGTTTGAGAACTCCACTTCAGGTGGAGGCAAACTACTTGCTTCAAGTCTCCAGCTGTCAAATCTACATTTGTTTCTGCCTGAATCTTTTCTTATACCACTGGTGATGCAATCTGATATTCTCCACATAGATACAATAGGGATGTAACTTGTTCGTCGTTAGACATACATCGAGCTCCAGTGGACTGGCAATTCTGTTGACTCCCAGCAGTACAAATTCCATATCCTAATGAGGTCTCAGTCTAGGGGAGACACTCAAAGAGATGAGTGCAGGATGACCGCCATGTAAATCTTTGCAAACAGCACCACATGAGCCAAGAGCAGAGTCCCTTAGTGCAGGTTAGGGATGGAGGAGTGTTTCCTGCATGTAAGAGTAAGGCAGAGAAGAAAATGAAGGAAGAACTTTTCCAGGACGGAAAGAAGGCCCTGGACCCTTGGCATTTAGACCTGATGACGACCTTCCTACACTGTAAGCTAGAGATTACAGTTACGACTGCTCACTTTCTGCCTCTTCATAGAAAGACTGAAAACTTCTGATTCTACCCTCATCCATTCTGCCCTGTCTTCTCAGAGTAGTAAGTTGGCTGGGCTATGTTAATGTCACAGAATTTAGTTTCTGTGCAGGCTCCCATCACCAGCCAGAGACTGGTTGCACAAACACTCGATGTAAGAGTGACTGATGTCTGGTTTCTCTCTTTTTGCCTTAAATACAACTATCTACAAGTCCAGTTGCATTCATCTCCCAAGTGTATCCAATATTTTCCCCAATCTCTTTATCATCAGTGTTACTATTTTTCTCCAGGACACATTACAGGCAAACTTTTGTCCTGCCCCCCCCCCCTCCAATCAGTTCTTCACCCAGAAGCCAAGATGATATTTAAAAATTTAATCCCTCTTATGGTGTCCTATTGAATCCAAATGAAACACGAATCATTTGCCCACTAGACCCTGTGAGGCTGTCCCCCATGTCCCTTAGCTTCTTGACTTCTGCTGCATGTTCACTGTGCTTCAGCAACACAATCCCTTTCTCTCTCTGACCATGCTTAGTCTCTCAGCACCGTGACTCCTTCTGTTTGGGACAGAGGACCCCTTGGTATCTTCAGTGGAGGCAATTATTCCTCTCATTGGAAAAAATGTCAGGCAGTTCCATCCAGTCCTCAGAGTCTTGCCGTGATCAGGGTTCACAGCACTTATCCCGACCTTAAATGACCAGACGCCTTTGTCACTTTGTTTCCTACAGTGGAACTCAGAGCAAGGCCTCTGACCTTTGAACCTGATGGAGGATCACCAGTTGTAGAATGTCTAGGCTCACAGTAGATATTCAGAAACCTCTCTTTCCACCTCTGCCATGTCCTTGTCTGTGCTTCTGTACCCAGAATCCCCTCCTCTAAGAATGTTGTAAGAATGTTGTAGTTACCAGCTCAGGATTTTTTTCAGGAGGAGGCTGGGAACTTCCCTATCACTGAGCACGCTCTTGCCTTTATTCTGTGGGCTGTCTAAACACTGGCTGGTTAAGGTCTCGGGGGCCTGTCAAAGGTTAGAAACTAAGTCATACTTTGATTTTAGTTTGCGTCATCGACTTTACTTGTTGGTGTGTGAGAGTAAGAGAATCTCTTGTGTTTCTTTTCAGAAATCCTTTCTATTTGATAAACGACCTCTTAGTCCTGAGATTAATGCTTTTAAGCAAGAGGAATATTCCCAGAGTCTCCTGAAACAAATGGAAAGCAAGCGGGAGAAGGAAATAAAGCAAAGACAGAACAGGGAGTTGATGGACCGCTTGGAACAAGTTCAGCTCACGGAGGAGTGAGTTCACCACGCGTGCCCGGAGAGACGGACGTCTTGTGTGAAGCTAATTCCTATGTGGGATTGAAGAAGCATTCAGAATTTCATGAATACCTCCATAGCCAAGAAAACAAACTAACCCAAAAGCAGCCAGTTGCACAGACATAGCTGCATCACAAAGAGAAAGCCACCGTTTCTTTAGTTACAGCAATAGCTGAGAATTATAGGGCAGCATTTCTGTACTGTTTATGATAATCAGTACTTCCCGCTGGATTCAGGAAGGAACATATCTTGAGCAGGCATCATTGCCAACTGTGAGATGCTCAAGTGACCTCCTGGCAAAGCTGCGTTCTTGTTCTAAGCACGTAGCTTGTTCCAGCAAACCGGAGGGTATAGACACAGGGGACACTAGAACCAGGAACTGAGAAGCAGTGCGGATCCGTCTTCTCCCTGCTTGCCCCATAGCTTTTCACTTGGCACCACCTCTAGTCCGCTTTGAGCTTGGAGACTCGGAGTCTCAAGTCTATATTTTCAGGAAGCAGAAAGTTATTGTTCAGGTTGGGCTGTCTGAGGCCCTGACCCGTGAAATTCCTATTGGCCTTAGGGGCTCCTACTTTTGCTGCTGAAGCCAGGACAGTTATGGTGTGGTGTGAGCAGAGACTGCCAGAACAAACAGTAGGCTAGTTTCTGGGGCCCTAAGAATAAACTGCCCTAAGATGTGTCTGTTCTAATATACGAATTTCATTAATCACACAGGTTCTTGACAGGTTTCATATCATGACTGTACAATGAGAGGGTAGATTATTTTTCTAAGGAAGAATTACGTATTGAATCTACTTATAGGCATGGTCTTATCCAGACTTAAAAAAGTATTTGTGTGTGTGTGTGTGTGTGCATGTGGGGTGGGGAGGGTGCCTGCCATAATCACCCCATACGGGTGATATGGCCCACCCTCTGCTTACACCTGTCCTGTCTGCCCTGTGTTCAGCACAGTATCCAGCAACCTGTAGACCTGAATTACTTTTTCTTCTAACGAGAGCTCCCAGAATGAATGATGAGCTGTTACGCATCCTGCACCCCTTCCTAGTAATACGGAACATGCTTTGATGATGCTAACTTGTGTTGCTGTATTTAAACTGTAAAATGCCTCTCACCTTCTCTGCATCTTAAATACCAGACTGGCTGCACAGAGAGCCCAGTACCTAAAAGAGAAGATGGAAGAAATGCAGTACTACAAGACAGCGTTGGATGCACAGGTAGGGAGACGGTGATCATCACTTTAAAACCATGCACCACATCAACCCAGTTCTACAAATAAGCACATAGCGCTGTGAACACGCACGCACGCTGTGAACACGCACACACGCTCTTCCTTTAGTAGGTTTCGAGGCCTCTGTTCACCCCCATAAGCCTTGGTGTTGGTATCTTACTAACTGCCCGTTATCTGCTGCTCACTCCAGGTGAAGAACAAACCCTCCCAGCTGCCCATGTTTGAGCCCGATTCTGCTGAGCCCATCTTTGGTAAGAACGAGGGCGAGATGGAGGTGGAAAAGCGGAAGCGGGAGCAGAGTTGCATGAAGCACCAGATGGAGGCGGCTGCCAGCCTCAAGAGGAATGCCATCCTGAACCAGCTGCTGGACCAGAGGCGAGACCTGCAGATGCTGCAGAGGACGCAGCGAGAGTAAGGAGAGCCCGGGTCTGCCTTCCCTCTCCTTTCCTCACCTCCTTCTGCTCTCTCCCCCAGCTCTTTCTTTCTTTGCAGCAATAGCGGAGAAGAAATGTAGCTAACGTATTGAGGACTTATGCAAGCCATTATTCTAAAATTGTTACATATTTCGCTCAGTTTTATACTATGATTCATTCAATGAAGAAAATGCTATTAAATAAAAAATGTGTTCTCTTTTGGTCTCCACTTCTCTTTCAAGCCCCAACTCCACATTTTCCCTTATATCACAGTATAATTCCCCCCTTCTCCTCCTCCTCCTTCTCTTCCTCCTCCTCCTTTTTTTCTCTTTCTCCTCCTCGTTCTGTTTTTGAGACAGGGTTTCTCTCTGTAGCCCTGAGTATCCCAGAATGTGCTTTGTAGACCAGGCTGGTCTTGAACTCATAGATCTGTCTGCTTCTGCCTTCTTAGTGCTGGGGATTAAGGTGTACATCACTCCTCTCACCAACAGCATAACTTTTTAAAAGAATCATAGCATCAGCACTACCCACTGGTTGTGTTAAATGAGCCAGAGATGGACCCCTGGCCCTAGATCCTTCCCCAGGTTCGCAGTGTATTCTGCTTCCATCGTGAACGGATGGCATAGGCGGAAGGATGGGCAAAGGAATTCTCTCAGGGCTGGATCTCTAAGTTCAAACATCAGACACTTGGTTTCTTAGAACGTCCAGGTGGTCACCTAACTGGTGGAGACAGTTTAAAGGTCGCACTAATGCTCAGTCTCACAACACCTCGTGTTTTCTTCCTAGCCTTCCATCATGAATTTCCTACTTCCTGCCTCCCCGAGACTGTCATAGGAAACTGGTCTTTTCTTTCTAAATGTCCATCAATTCTTATATCTCTGATGAGCCCAAATTATTATCCAAAGGGGCTTCTGGCCAAGGAATCCACTATTTTTGGAAGGTAGTTGTACTTATAAAAAGTCATATTATTAAACTTTCATAAATATTAGAAATGGCCCCAGTGGGATTGTTTATGGGTCTATTAGGCTCCGTGCTGGGTTGGCTAGACATGAGTCAGTCATAGGCTGAAGGACACAACGATAGTGGGGGTGACTGTTGGTAGAGGGTGTGGGAGTAGTTAAATTGTGAGGTTTATTCTGGTAGAGGGTGTGGGAGTAGTTAAATTGTGAGGTTTATTCTGTTAGAATCATGATCTGCATTACACATTTCCCTATTTCGATAAAAAAACCAAAGAGTCACATCTAATCTGTACAAGGACAAGAGTCTTGCCTTGATATATATCAGATTTCTAAAATCGTGACCTATTTCCATATCCAGTGATAGGAACCATTGTCCCAAGCCCTACAAGTACACTCTACTTAGGTTGCCATGAACCTCCCCCTCCTTTTTAATTTTTAAAATGATTTGTTTCTCTTTTATGTGCATTGGTGTTTTGCTTGCATGCATGTCTGTGTGAGGCTGTTGGATCCTCTGAAACTGGAGTTACAGATAGTTGTGAGCTGCCATGTGGGTGCTGGAAATTGAACTAGGGCCCTCTGGAAGAGCAGCCAGTGCTCCTAACCACGGGGCCATCTCTCAAGCCCTGTGAGCCATCTTTCCAGCCTCTCATGATTCCTTCTTTGAACTTGAATTTCTCACTTGGGGCTCAGACCACGTCTCAGATGCATTCTGATTGGTTGGCATGTTTGTGTCATGATATTAACTGAATGATAGAGCACAGGTTACATACTTTGGAGGGCACTGGTTTTCTTTCTGTACTAGGGCTAATACAAGTATCTCCCTGCTGATGGTCCAGACTTAAATGACTCCTGCAAATCCCTTAGCACAGTGCTAGCTTTGTTTTCTTCCCGGGCGACACACCCTTCGCCAAGCATTCCCATCAGTGCTGGGTAGTTCTGCTTCTGTTTTTCTTGCTTACGAGTCATTCCCTACCTCTTCTCATTTCTCTTCCTCTTCTCCTTTCTGCACTCCACTTTGTAGCATAAAACACCTGTCGCCCCCAAGTATGATAGCGCACTTCTGTGCTCCCAGCACGCTGGAGGCTGAGGCGGGAGGACCCAGAATTCAAGGCTACCCTGAACTACACACAGAGACCTTCCCTCCAAAGCGGGGAACCCCCAAAGAACCAGATGCGTAGGCTCATTGCTGACTGCTGAGAGGCTGGGGAGAAACACAGGGCAGGGAATCCATTTGGGATGGTTCGTCAGATGAGCCAAATTAGCTTCAAAGGGCATTAGTGGCTTTGGAAGCTGAATTTGTGAATTGGAATAGGACTTAAGTCCTGCTAATTTATACCAGGGTGCAGGATGAATGATCTTAGAGCCATCCATTATCTGACAGCTTGCATTCACTGTGGTTTTTCCAGCAACCCTGTTTCTGCACATTCTAAAGGCTCCTGAACAGAACCAGAACACTTTCTGTCTAATTTAACATAAAAGAAGTAGGGCTTCTAGGGTGGTCCCCGGCCCTTCCCAGCATTGCAGACGGAGTCAGGCTGTTCCTTTCTCTCCAGGCACTTGGCAGACAGAGCTGCAGAGCTGGATCGGGTGAACAGGATCAACCAGTGTTTGCAGGAGGACTGGGACAGGAGCCTGTCCATGAAGAAGCAGCGGGACCTGGAGGAGAAGGCCTTTGAGCGGTAAGACCTCGTGGGAACCAGGCACTCTCTGCCCTCCAACTCAGCGGTTCTCAACCTTCCTAATGCTGAGTCCCTTTAATACCGTCCCTCACGTGATCATAGCATTCTTTGGTTGCTACTTCATCACCGTAATTTTGCTAACCGTTATGGATGATGATGTAAGTGTCTGGTATGCAGGAGCTCGGCTGGGTGGCTCCCAGGTTGCGAGTTAGTCTAACTCTAGGATTACCGAGGCTTTGATTAGCGTGGCCCTCTCCAACATTCTCTGGGGAGAACAAATCTGGTTAGTGGGAAACGCTGCTGCGGTTGATTAGCAATGTCTGTTCTGAGCAAGGGGCTGGACAACACTGTGCTGTGTGTTAAGTTTTCACCGACCCTGCCCTGATCTTTGCTTCTGCCCTGGTGGTTCCACTTTGCTGAGGGTTGCAACTCTCTCTTCTTTGAAGCAGGATGAGTTCTGCTCTGATCACTTCCACGCTTAATGAACTTTTTTTTTTTTTTTTTTTTTGAGACAGGGTATTGCTATTTATTATAGCTGGACAGGAACTTGCTCTGTAGACCCGACTGGCCTCAAACTCATAGATTCATCTGCCTCATCCTATGCACTACCATGCCTGACCTTCATGGATGGATGGGAAAGACTGACCTATGGGAAGAATGAGCTACACAGTGGAGCTGGGCCCCTTTCCAGCTGTGTATTTACTGTTTGAATCTGCTGTTTAGAGTTAGGACGAACTGTGGAAAGGCTGCTAATGCCAGTCATACTTTTTGACTTACAAACTGTGAATGTAAATACTTGCCTGACCCAGCTAGCACCGGGGATTTAGGGGTAAAAAAAAAAAATGAAAATAAGGAAAATTATTATACTTTGAAAACAATGGAAATCCTTTAGAAATTTAAGATGTGATTTTATAAAATGAAAAGAGATTTCCTAAAATGTTAAGATTCCAATGAAACCGAGCCAACCTATACAGTCAGGTAATCAGGACCAAACATAGCAAAAAACAGTTCAAGTGGCTCCTTTTCCACTACTGTTCAAGATTTTATTCTTTATTCGTGTGCGTGTGTGTGTGTGTGTGTGTGTGTGTGTGTACACATGTGCACCTGAGGAGGCCAGAAGAGGGAGTCAGAGTCCTTGGAGTTGGAGTTCCAGGCAACCGTGACCACTTTTGGTCTGAGACCCGAACTCAGGTGGGACAGCAGCAAGAACTTGTAACTGATCTCCCCAGCCTTGACTTTGAAACAACAACAACAACAACAAAAAAGATTTATTTATTTTATATATAAGTTTTTCCCCCTCCATATGTGTCTGTGCACCGCTTGCGTGCCTGGTTCCCAAGGAGGCCAGAAGAAGGGTGTTGGATCTCCTGGACCTGGAGTTACCGACAGTTGTGAGCCACCACGTGGGTGCTGGGAATCAAACCTGGGTCTTCTGGAAGAGCAGCCAGTGCGCTTAACCACCGAGCCATCTCTCCAGCTCCAGCGTTATTGTCTCTTAAGCAGGGCTCTTCATCTGCCACCCTTTCTTTTAAGAGTTTCTTGAAAGGCACGCCTCATCTGATTTTCTATTGGTGGAGCTCATTTGTAAGAAAGAATGAGGGATAGCATGGTGGTCCTGAGCCACAGGCGAAGTGGGTCAATCCAGAGAAGAGGAAGAGGGTGGAAGTGGGCCAGTCCAAACTATTTCTTTCAGTCTCGTGGAAAACCAGCGAGAAGCAGTGAGGCTTACACCAGCAAGATTTTGTCTGGATCCAGAAAGACGGCTTGGCCAACATGACAATAGCGGATAGGGGAGTCACAGGAAATAACTGTGAACCCCAGTTAGCGAATGGGCGACCCAGGGCAGGCTGTGGTAGGCGGCAGATGGGAAGAAGGGGGTGATTGATGTGAAACACAAAACAAAACAAAAAGACAAGCAAACACAAATGCAAGATGCATGTTTATGCAATTAGCATATGCCAATGCTGCCCCGTTTCTGGATTGCCCAGATAGGTCTTCCCATCCTTTCCATCCTTTCCAAGATTACTCATTATTCTTTTCCTTCTAAGGTTTTCCTACACTCTCTCTCTCTCTCTCTCTCTCTCTCTCTCTCTTTGTGTGTGTGTGTGTGTGTGTGTGTGTGTGTGCATGTGTCTTGTGTCAACCTGTGGAGGCCACAAGTCAACCTTAAATGGGACCATCAGCCTTGCTTTTTGAGACAGGTTCTCTCCTTGGTCTGAAGCTTGCCAGCTAAGCTAGAATGGCTTAGGTATGTGGGTCTTAGGGCTCAACCTCAGGTCTTCCTTTTGATAGCTCTCCCTCCAGCCCCTCATAATCTGGACTCAACTTCTCCGAACTCAACTTCTCACTGGCTGCTGGGATGGGGGGTGGGGAGAAGAGGGGGTTTGCACCGACCCAGTCTTACGACTTTTACAGAATTCTGTGTCCCTACAGAAATGTTGATGGGTCCCAAGAGCACACTTGGGACTGACTTGCAGAACCAAGAACTTTCAAAATGGAGAATCAGTCACTGTAGTCCTTTATTTCTGCTTCCTGTTTGTTTTTTCCCCTTCTTTGTCTCTTCTTTCTTTCTGGGTGCTGGACTCTCCAAAAGCTCTGTCCTCTTGGGACTTTTCTAAGCAAGTATACCCTTAGTTCTCAGCAGGTGTTAGGAATTACCTGTCAGCCGGCAGCTTCATCCCCTTCTCAAACAAGGTTTCCGGAGAGTGAGAGAAGTGTAAACAGCGCCAAACACCAAAGTTTGGGGGGAGGGGGTGGCGGCGGCACCTTAGAGGTGGGCGTGGCCTTGGGCTTTATGTGTTTGCTGTTAGGCACGTGTGGCTAGACATGAAGGAAGGTTGGGAATTTGCACAAAGCCTTTGATTTAGTGAAAAGGAGGAGGCCACAGAGGTCAGGATGTGGGATAAGCCGCAGATGGCAGCGCCAGGCAGCGGGTGACGGTAGAAGGCTTGAAAGCAGAGATTGGGCATCACTTTTCTTCGCTCTGCTTCTAGGGATTTGGGGGACACTTGATGACATCAGCTTTTGCTTTCTTCCCCCCAGGGCTTCTGATAAGCTGTTCCTCTTGGACCAGTGTGAGAAGTACCGGCGCTGCAGGCAGTGCCAGAGGCGCACCTCCAACGTGGGTGAGAGCAACGTGTGGCCCCTGAACAAGTTCCTGCAGGGGTCGCGATTGCTCGTGTAGAACTCAAAGTTTGAAACTACGCATTCTGAGGAACGTTTGTTTGAAGTGGTTGAATATTTAGAGTGTGTATTTTTGTACCCCGGAGGAAAAAACTGAGTGTTTTCAAACCTTTTTCTTGAATTCATGTCTACTATTTCCTTAGTGTGTGTCCCGCCTTCCTCTCATCCCGGCGTATTCCCTGAACTTGGCTCCAATAGCAGTGCTGGTGTCGAAATAATTCTTAACCTAGTGTCCATTTGCCATAGGGACTGGGACTGGGAGGGACCCAACTACTTGCTGGATGCTGAGGGGTGCTGACCCAGCTCTGTGACTTCTTTTAGAAACGTTCTATTTTCCCATCTGTAATAAATACATTCTAACAAATATTTCGACGTGCTGAGTATGCATGACAATTTATGGTACATATATCCCCTCCCCAAGTCTAAACTTTTAACATATGTTTTTATTTATTCTTTGAAAATTTTATGCGTTTATATAATGTTTTTTGATTAGATGCATCTATCACTATTTTTATCCAATTTCCTCGCTGCATCCTACCCCACATCCGTCCCAACCTTATGTCCTCCTTTGTTTTTTGTTGATAATAACCCCTTGAGTCCAATTAATGCTGCCCATATGTGCTTGGTTGTGGGGCTTTCCACTGGAGACTGGGCATATGTTGCGCGAGTTCTAATTGGTCTTATTAATAAAAATACGGAACCAGATATCGGGGCAAATGCTAAAAGATCAGAGAAAAGAGCAAGCCACAGCCCACTCTTACCTTGCTAACTTCTCATCCAAAAAAAGGGGGGGGGGGCAACCTCATATCTCCTCCCACCTTATAGTCCTCTCTCTGCCCAGCCATATCACTTTCTGTCTGTACAGACCTCCAGACTTCTATGGTTAACTAGTGGCTAACTCCATCCTCTGATCTTTAGGCAAGTTTTATTTGCTCGAGTACAAACAAGATATCACTACAAGCATATCCCCGAGGGAGAATGACTCTTCTTCCCTCAGTAGCCATAACTGCCAATAGCTCCTACGCCAAGGGTAGATCCTCAGGACCCCCCTCATCCATCAGATGCTCCTCTAGAGCCCCGAGCTAGCATCAAGCACGAAATTCTGCCCGTGGCACAGGCCTCAGATCTATTCAGAAGGAAGCTGGTTACCCACAATAGTTAAGCCACCATTGGGTCAGTTGGCACATATTGCTGGGCAGGTTGCTGTTGTGCCATGCACTGTCCAATGCTGATGGGACCTTCGAGGACTGTTTTCTCCTAGGTAGGCTGCAGACCATCTTCTGACAGAAAAAGTTCAGGTCAATTCCAGCTTAATTCCATCCACTATACCTGCATCTAAAGTGTACTGTATGTTAGCAATGGGAGTCTTACCATCTAGCTATGGTGGGAAATCAAGGGCAATGATGATAGCTTGTGTTGCCTTGGGGTTCTCTGGGACCTCCCCAACCAACCACTTGTAAGAGTTTTCATTTAATAACCTATTATATGCCCACGGCTCTGTGGGTGAAGGCACCTGCTGCCAAGCCTGAGGAACTAAGTTTGATTCCCCAGGACCTACACTGCAGAAGGAGAGGACTAAATTATTTTTTTAAAAAAAATATTTATCTATCTATCTATCTATCTATCTATCTATCTATCTATCTATCTATCTATTATGTCTACAATATTCTTTCTGCATGTATGCCTGCAGGCCAGAAGAGGGCACCAGGCCTCATTACAGATGGTTGTAAGCCACCATGTGGTTGCTGGGAATTGAACTCAGGACCTTTGAAAGAGCAGGCAATGCTCTTAACCACTGAGCTTAACCGAGGACTGGCTTCTTGTAACTGATCTCCATTTGTTTGTGGTACGGCGATGCACACATACAAACAATAAATTAATAAACGTGGCAGGCAGGGAAGGGAATGGGGAGAATGAGCATCAGAGGCCAGGAATGTGGCTTGGGTCGGGAGAGTGCTTGCTTAGCATAAGGAAGCCCTGGGTTCCATCTCCAGTACTGCACGGAGTGGAGGACCATGCACGCCTGGAATCTCAGCTCCTGGAAGGTGGAGGCCGTAGAATGAGGGTCTCAAAGCTATCATTAGCTACAGAGTGAGTTCAAGGCCAGCATGGGGCTGCCAAGACACAACCCAGGACTTGTCTATTTTTAGTAATACAGAATTAAAACTCTAAAAAACTCTAAACATCATTCCAGACCTTATGTTGTTTATCCAGCCATTTCAAACCTGGTCAGTATAGAGCCGCTCTTCGCTTGCTCTTCAGCATTCACCTCCCCGCGTCTGCACTGGTAGACATCAAGTTTGCAGCAGTTGCTTCTGTGAGATTTTAAGTTTCACAGTGATGAATGCATTTCCGTAAATCTCATTTTATGCTGTTTTGAAACCTCTGCTTTGAAAAGTCGGCTTTGCTAGAAGCTTAGACAAGATCCATTTGTATGGAAGCAGCGTGTGTTTAATGCCTTGTCATATCTATGTGTGTTTGGCATACCAGTCGAAGGAGGAGGGCTGAAGACAGGACGGGAGAGAGCACGAAGCAGGATATTGTGTAGGACATAGGGTTTGTAATTTAGAGAGCATTTTGTAAGTGTGCATGTGAACGTGTTGTGTGTGCGTGCCAGAGGTTAACCTCAAATGGCAAGTGGCTTCCTCAGTTGCTCTCCTCGTCAGTGTTTTGAAATAGGGTCTCTCAACCTTTACCTGGTGCTTGCCGACTGAGCTCGGCTGGTTGGTCAGCGAGCCCTGGGGATCACATGTCTCTGTTTTCCCATGCCTGGGATTACAAGTACATCCCACCACTCAGCTTTTTGTTTTGTTTTGTTTTTAAAATAGATTTTAGGGATTGAACTCAGGTCCTCACGCTTGCATGGCAGGCACATTGCTTACTGCACCATCTCCAACCCCTAGTATTTTATAAAAAGTAGAGATGTTTTGCCTTTGTGGCTAAAACAGTGCTATTATCCAATTTCTGAAACCCCTATTTTTTTTTTTTTTTTGCCAAACATTAGCAATTGCTTACTACCTATTACTTTGGTCGAAAGTATATTTTCCCTCTGTTTTCCCAACCAGAACTGGATTAGTTTCTACTAATCAATTGGACATTTAATAGTTTATGTTTTTTCTTCGAGACATTGTTTCTCTGTACCCTTGACTGTAAACTCGATTTGTAGACCAGGCTGGTCTCGAACTCACAGATAACTGCCTGTCTCTGCCTCCTGAATTGGGATTAAAGGTGCATTGCACCACCACCTGGCAATATTTTTTGTTTTTAAAATTATATGAGTTAAAATTAGGGTTCTTAATAATTATTTTATTATAAAATTGATGAAATGATTCTGTTTTAATGTTAAGCTAACCACATTTTCGCTATAGGAAAGAGTGGTTTAAGTTGTGTGGCAGAAATAACTGGAGAGAGTGCTTGTCATCACCAGGTACGATATGAGTTTAAACATCTAAAGAAATAATGAGGGCAAGAGAGACTTCCAAGATGTTGTCATAGAACAAATGCATTATTAAGAAAATTACAAAGTTTCACAGATTTGAGTTCACTTTACTGTAAATGATAACAATTCTAAACTTCATATACCTGATAACACTGAGTCAAAATATGTGAACTAAATATGGTCAAAACTGCAAGGAAAAAATTATCTTTCAGAAATAGGCCGAGTAGAGAAAAAATCAGTAATATGTAGAATTGAGTAAAGTAAAATAAAAATCCCCAGACAAAGGATATTGTATCCTACCATGTTGGTGCACATATTCTTTTTAAGATGTGAACTTTTTGTTTTTAAAATTTGACCATAGCATTTGAAAAAAAAAAAGATTCCCCAGCAAACTGAAACCTATTTCAACAAGTCATAACAGATTCTCTGGCCATAATTCAGTGATATTAGGAATACATTTGGAATTCTGAAAATCTATGTCTACATGGGATGTGGTAGATGATGGAACCCCAAGACATGACCTACAACAACTAAGGACATATGAAGACTTTCCAAAAGTCGCGTATTAGGAGAGATACGAGAGCGAGGAGAGGAATATGAACTATCAGTAGACGTCTTCCTTGGAGGGAGCCTTTCGGATGGAAGAAACCATTTCCTTCTTTGGGTGCGCTTACTGATTCTGGGCATGGAATAGAAAGGATGAGTTTGGGTCCAGGTAGATGGTTTCTCCTGTGGAAATGAGAAGTTCAGCCAGGCCATTGGTGGTCATGTGGGGCTGATGCAATCGATCAGAACCTTGGAAATCTTAGCCGGTTTCTTCTGCCGTTTGCAACTGTGCTCCCCAGGACACAGGCATTAGATATGAGATTGCCATTAGAGATTTAGTGGTGAATCTCCACAAGGACTCACTGCTCTGTTCTCTTCCAGAAACGTATAGTGTTAGTTTTTATATTTAGGTCTACGCTTTGGGGGCATTGTTGGCTAAGTACTAGTACCAAGGAAGCCGATGCTGGAAGAATAAGACCTGAGCAAGAGATGACTGATTCATGACTCTGCCAGATACTCTTCGTGGAGCTTAAGAGTTCACCTGGATTGCACCGAGAGACAGTCAAATAGTGCACTATATGCAGCGGGAATCCTGGCTGAAGTGGCACCAGGGGTAGGTCTCAAAGCGTGATTTATACAGAGAAAGGAGACTGGAAGCCAATATCCCAAACAGGCCAAGCAGGGGCTCCAAGTCTTTCTTTACTGTTTGCTGTGCATGTGTGCAGTCATGAAAACAGGGGAGGTAAAGGTTTTCACTAAACGTCACCTCCACCAGAAATTTGAATTGCTTCATTACTTCAGGGTGAAGGATGGAGGGGAGAGTGTGTCCCAGGCCTGGGACGTTAAATCAAATCTTCCTTACAAATCAAATCGAAGCCTTCCCTGTGGCTCACGCTCTTTGCTCCTCTTTCTCCTCGTTCTTTGGCATGCAGATCCTTCTCATCCCTATTTCTCTAGTTTTCCTTTTAGTAATGACAACATAAAATGTACAGTACTCAACAACCCAAAGGGCAGGGACCCTTCTTGATGAGCCTCTGGCCACTCAGCCTCCACCCACACCCTACTGAGCCTTGAAGGTAATGTATTCTTCTGAAATGAATTCACTCCCTGATGGGTGGACCACATTTTCTGGCAGGTGGCTTTGTTTACATTCCTTGAGTGCCTATGACGAATCCGCCCTTTAGTCATGGGACAGAGCACAAACACTGCTCTCCTTTTGTGTCTCATGGGAAGCATCCTTTCTTCCCGGAGCTCTATGACTTCCCTGTGAACATTTTCCATGGACACAACACTTCCTCGCTTATGGAAAAGGACTTGAGTTCAAGCTAGACCTTGAGCTCTACAAAGGTGGGTTTCTAAGCAGAATTTCCCACAAGGCTTTGATATTAGCAATTAACAGTAAAAGAACCATTTGGAGAGGATTCAGAGAAGTTTTATAGGAGAGCTTCCAGGGCCTTCAGGAACAAAGCTGACACCCGCTGCATGCCTCAGCATCTCCGCAGAACACACAAAGTAAAACAAATGACAAACGAACAAACAAAAAATCACCATCGTGACAAGGCTGGCCATTTTGGAACGTTTATATTGTATTTCTTCGTCCAGCCCAAACAAGTCCCAGAGCGTGCATCAGACCTTCTGAACATTCATAGCTTCCTTAGGCCAACTGTAGGTGTCTAGTGTGAAGGAGTCATAGTCTGGAGTGTAGATCAGAGATCTTACAAAAGCCTCCTTGTCCTCAGGCTCTGGGTAGCAGGAGGCCAGGTTGTGTTTATAAGCATAGTCGAGGACCTAGGAGAAACAGGTTTGAATGAAAAACTAGATCTATGGGAAAATCGGCCTTAAAAGCCTCTTCCTTGGCAGCCAGGGACAAAGAATATCCCCTAAAGGACTGGTCATGTTTCTCTTCAGTTGCCACCCATGACACCACCGGAAGGGGAGGATTAAAACTTTCTCCCTAGATAGCTTGCTTCTTTCCCAAGGGGCTAGTTGCCCCTCTCTCCAGAGCTCTGGAGACAGATTCATACCCAGTGCCTGGGCCAAGGTCAAAGAGGCCCAGCCCATTATTATCCCCGTTTCTAATTCTCTGCGGGTTTCCAGCCAATGATAAATTTGATGAGTTCTTCAGCTTATGGCCTGGGAAGCAAAATAGTGATCACCTTATTCTAGAGTGATGATGAGAATATAGTTAGTAACAGTCCGCCTGCAACCCATTCCCATGGAGACCGATGTGGTTGAATTGGATGATCATCTTGTGAGCAAATAGTGACCCCATGAAGGAAGAGGAATAGGTGAGCTGAACCGGGATCTGGATTGTTGGACTTCATAATTGCTTTGTAAGGGCGCCTGCACTGGACAACTCACGGGGGCTACTATAGTATCGCTGTGTGGTGTACTTTCTGAGACTGTTGGTTATTCTTACAGAAAAACACACACTAATGGAAAAAATATCATGTACCTATTATCCAGCTTGGATAATTATTGCTTGAAATTGGTCTTTATTATGTTTTCTCTGAAAACTCATTATCTTTGCATAGTCTGGAATGTTCTGTGAACCCGATCACCTCATCCTCCCTTAAAGAGAGAAAGGGGAAAAGTAACTCCCCACTCTGGCCAACAGGAGCTTTTCATCCCTGAAGTTTTGGGAGGGAGGAACTGCTGGGCTCTACAGAGAAGCAGCTAAGGTTGAGGGAAGTGAAGGCATTGGGTCACAGGGACGCCTCTGCTGATTGCCAGAGTGGGGACTCCAAAGCTTGAGTCCTTCCTATGATGTTGTGCAAGCTGGCCTTTTCCATAAATGAGGGGTTATGATTCATTAAAAGAAATTACACCCACATTCTGGTTCCCGAAACCGTGGCCTCTGATGACTTTCCTTCCTATGTTTGTGGGGGAAATGTGGGAGCTTTTCTAGAATGCCTGGGTGGGTGTTTAGAGCGGGACTCAGGCTGTTGAGCAGGCAAGAGTTTCCCACCTAGTCTGTGGGTTACATGCAGTGAGGCTCAAGGAGCACAGGTTTCCAGGGCTGCCGAGCCCTCCTGACGTGTAGGGGTGGGTGGAGCCACAACACCTGTGCTAGAGGGGTACAAGGGAGGACGCCCCTTACTTTGACTGCAATTCTCAGAGACACATCTCGGATGGTGTTGAGGGGTGGGTACAATCTCCCCTGGGACAGGTGCTGCTCAGAGACTTCTTGGGCAATATGCTAGAGAAAGAGAGAGAGAGAGAGAGAGAGAGAGAGAGAGAGAGAGAGAGATTGATTTTCCCAAAGCTTGCCCAGGTACTGTGACCTATGCCACACACAGCCCTAAGGAAGCTTAATGCTTAGGCTTAAACAAACACTTATTCTTTCTGTGCTAAGCCTGGCTGGAGTTTAAAACAGCACGAGGTTCCGTGAATTCTAGAAGGAAACCACTAAGACCAACATGGATAAGCTTGTGACCAGCAAACAAAGACTCTGTCTTCTGACAGATCACAGCCTGTTATATAGGAGTCTCTGGGCCCCCTTACTTACTTCTTAGGTCCTAGCCTCCTCCCACATCCTTAGTATCAATCTGGGTGGCCATCTTAGCAAAAAAAATTTCTTGCTTCAAGGTTCCATGAACCTTCCTTTCCTAGGCTTGCTTCTTGTCTGGGGTGAGTGGGTAGTAGATAAGAGAGGACGAATCCAGGGGTCACTGGGCCTAAGGACCTGGTGTTGAGCCACCAACCCTACTAGAAGCATCCTAGGGAGAAAAGCAGTGGTACCTCTGCCGTGAGGAGGAAGATTTCATCTGGGATGTGTCGGATCCCACCGGCAATGACGCCCAGGGCGACCCCAGGAAACACATAGGCATTGTTTCCCTGACCGGGAATGAAGGTCCTGCCATCTTCCAGAGTCACATTCTTAAAGGGACTTCCACTGGCAAAGATCCCTCGGCCCTGGACATAGGAAAAAAATCGGAAGTGGAACTTCAAGACAGGTTTGGGGCAGCCATGGCATTCTATTTTTATCTCTTAAATGTTGGACCCATACCCTCCCCTATGTGTCCAGAATGATGAGAACCTGATAAATACTCTGAGAACGCTTCATTTACTTGAACAGAAGGCTAAGCCTTGCCTCCCTTCAAGTTACTGAGAGAGGAGGCCATGGTGCCTCTTCCCCCAACATCTGGGAGGGCCAGCACGAGATAGTTGCCTTGGGAATAAAGAAACTCTGCTGGACAAAGCTCGGTTGTTTGGGGGAGCCCTGAGCAGTCCAGTATCATGGAAGAGCTCTGGCTTTAGGGTTAGATGGAGACTTGAAGGTTAGTTCTATTTATTAGCTCGATGATCTTGGGAAAGCTGGCTCATCTTTCTAAACCTCAGCTTGCTCATGATGACGGGGCACCCTCTATCACCCTCCTCGGGTTGTTGGTAGTAAGAGCTGCTACTCTCTCAGCTGGGGGCAGGAAGGACTCCCCGCTGACCTCAGTGACCCGGTAGCACTTCTCAGCTGTGCACTCAGCCTTGCTGGTGGGGTTGCTCAGGGCAAAGATGATAGGGCGCTCGTGGAAGGAGGCCATGTCCCTCAGAATCTGCTCCGTGAAGGCTCCTGCGACGGCAGCGACACCTACAGGGAAAACGGGGGCAGCGGGGAATGCCTACTCCGTACGAACAGCTCATTTCCCCTCTTGTGGCACTGGTGAGGGAACTAGGTACCCCATGGCAGACTTGGAAATCCTGGGGATAGAATCTGCTGTTGGGGATGAGGGAATCCTGTTGCTTGAGCTAGCTAAGACCTCTTGTTCGTTTCCGGGAGACCACTGGTCCATTTCCGGTCTCCGATCTTGAAGGTGCACCTGAATGCCATTCCCGAATCTGCGCCCTCATTTCTATGGTTTCTACACAGCAGTCACCCAATAAGTTTATGGCATTGAACCAGGCATGGGATAGGGGAGACAGCTGTGCTTCTGTAGGTGGTTTGTGACTGTTCACTGAGTCTCAGACTATCTATCTGCAAGTGGAGAGGGTTAGCTGGGCTGGGTGGCAGGACTTCTTCTTCCTACCTATAATTGCTGTGGGCTTCACCAGCCTCACTACCTCCTCCAGCGAGTTGACTTCAGGATGGTCTTGGGCAAACATCTCCTTCTCATGGTTCAGGTGGCTCCTACCCTGTAGGAAAAGAAGGAAGATGGAGTAGCAGTGGCGTTGTGGGCCTTCCGAGCAGAGCCTTGATGTGTTAGAATTCAGACAGCGTTTCTGATTGAGCCTTGTGTTTTGATCTGAGCCTTCAGAATAGTGAGGTCCAGACCCTTTATCAGATTTCTTAGTAGAACCTAAGGGAATGCATACATGTGTTTCTTCCTTCCTTCTTCCTTCTTTTTTTTTTTCTTAAAAATGTATTTTTATTTTAATTGTGTGGGTATTTTGCTGCTTGTATTTGTGTTCCGCATGCGTGCAGGGTCTCTGGAGGCTAAGGAGGGTACCAGGTTCCTTGTAACTGAAGGTACAAACAGTTGTTAGCCACCATGTGTGTGCTGGGAATCAAATCAAATCTGGGTCCCCCAAAAGAGCAAACAAGTGTTCTTAACTTCTGAGCCATCTTCTGAGCCACATGGAAGAATACATAAGTATTTATTTATTTATAATAAATTATTAAAAATAAAATATTTAAATATTTAGAATAAAAATGATCAATAAATCTTTTATTTTTAATTTTGTTTGTAGCTACTGGGGGTCATGGGTTACAGGGACAGTATAGAAAGACTCCTAGATTCCTTAGCCTCACTGAACATGCTGGTCATATGAAGTGCAGCCTACAGGTTTGCAGAAGGACAGGGCCTGGAGACTTTCAGTACCAGAAAGCTAATGTGAATGGATTTAACAGGATCCATTAGTCCTGGAGTGTCCCTGAGCTGAGTCTAGGATCGGCTGATCATGCCAACCGTGCTTGAGAAGCTCCAGATTTCTTTCCATCTCTTCGAACAGGAGCCCAGGGATGACAGCTTGGCATCAGTGTTGGTAAATGGGTGCAATCATTTTGACGGCTCCAGCTGGCCTCAGGAGTGCCAGAGGGAAGATGCCAAGCCTACAGTTCCTTGACTAGAAGTCAGCTCAATAGAGTGGATCAAATGATGTTGGAAAAAGCACAAGTGAACAGAAGAGTCACCAATGTCTGGTAACCTACTCAGAGACTGTTCCCTGGATTGATGGGGGGATGGGAAGATGCATACCAGGCCCACGACCCTGTCCACAGTGCTCTGGCTGTGCAAGGTTGTGGAAGAGAGTGAGCCTGTGTCTTTTGGAGGACTATGATTCAATTTGGCTGAGGTAAACTGAGGGTAGGAAGTGGTAGGAGAGAAGGAGGCTGGAAGGGTATTCAGGTACACAAACAGGCACACACTCCTCATAATACCCCCCCCATACATACACACCATCAAAACTTTTCGGATAACAGCAATTAGAGCTTTTGCTTTAGAATTTCCTTTTTGCTTTTCATCCTGTCTTAGAATTCTGTCCCTTGGAGAGCCCTTCCTTCCTTCCTTCCTTCCTTCCTTCCTTCCTTCCTTCCTTCCT